TGTGTGTGTCTGTCTGGGTCGGTCGGTCGGTGTGTGTGTGTTCAGTCCAGACGCGGCGGCGCTGCAGTTTGTTCCCATGGGCTCCCAGCAGGTGGCGCCGGTGTCGTCTCTGATGGCTCTGCCTCCCGCGCCGCACAAGAACGAGGACGACGACGAGGACTACGACTCATAGCCTGCACTCTTTCCTTCCGTTGCTCTCAGACGAGCCGGCGCGAGCGGCACAACACCCATAGCTTCTCCACTAGACATGTTTTAAGTTGTTTTTTTTGTTTGTTTTTTTTTGGTAATCTTATTTTATTGTCCAGGAACAGTTCCAAGTTGTTTTAGTGAGTCGGCGTTTCTTTTGGTCCTCTTGGCCCCAGAAGCGAGAGCGTGTCGGGACACCCTGTGCACTCTTGCACTTTTCTTTAGTTTCCGTCTCTCGTCATGTTTTAAGAGCATATCACTCCCGTCTGAGGAGGTTCAGCAGATGTTTTGGTTGGTTTTAGCAGCAGATGCTGGCGAGTTGTTTGTAAGGGAAATGCAAAGCGGACAGTTCTGTTCTTTTGCTTTTGTGACTTATGTTTCTGGTTTTGTCCTTTTTAAGCTAGTTTTACGATTAAAGCTTCTCTCTTCCAGCGATTAAACTGTCTAGCGGCGCTTTCATGCAGTTTTTAATTCATTCTGTTGCAGGTCGTTCATCGGATGTGAATGTGTTGATTTGGTTTGAGAGCGTTTTGACCGTTTCGAACACGCTCTGTTCCCCGGATGATGCACATTTGTATCGATGATTTCTGCTTTGTTTTATATCTTTTAGACTCTTTTAATGTTTGCTGTGAAGCTGGAGAGAGTCACGTGATTTTGTATGAGTGAAATAAACTTTGAGGTTTCAGTAATTTGCTCTTTCGATGTGCTTTCCTCACGGGGCCAGTGGTCAGAACCATTACGAGGGTGAGTTTTCGGTTTTTGTAATCATTGTTTGACTTCGCTGAGAGCCAGTGTCAAGCGCTTCAGTTGTTCTGACGTTGCTGTGCGAGTCGAACTAGCTGAATAATCACATGTGGCTTAAGAAGGCAATCACTTCTTGAGTACTGGTTTAATAACACTAGTATGCACTATAGTGCTGCACACTCAGTGGTTGAGCTGTCCAGAGCCAGGGTTATCATCGCTGACTAAAACCATCAAACATTTCATTACCTGAAGTAAAATTAATCTTAACTTCAATAAATATATTTTTATTTTTTTATTTTTTTTTAATTGATGCAACGACATTATTTCTCACTTTTTTATATTTATTTAAAATACTAAAATAACTGCAGTTGAATAAACTAAACTTAATAAATAAAACAAATACAAATTGTATAGACAAAAAAAACTAAAACTAATAAAGTGACAAACTTAAGGTGAAGACAAATAAATAAAAATGAGATCTAATCAGATCTCGATGATAGTAAAAACAACCAACTGCTGTCAGCACTCAAAATCAAACGTATGTTATATAGAGAAATATATTTACATTTAGCAGATGCTTATAGCCAAAGCAAATTAAATCGTGTTCAAGGGATAATTTAGCATTAATTAATGCACGTGTGTGAGGGAGAGAGAGTGTGTGTGTGAGAGGGAGAGAGAGTGTGT